TATTTACAATATTTTTGACCCTGGACCACAAAAGTCTTAAGTCGCTTGGGTATATTTATAGCAAAAGCCAAAAATACATTGTATGGGTCAAAATTATACATTTTTCTTTTATGGCAAAAATCATTAGGATATTAAGTAAAGATCTTGTTCCATGAAGACATTTTGTAAATTTCCTACCATTAATATATATAAAAATTTAATTTTTGATTGGTAATATGCATTGCTAAGAACTTCATTTGGACAACTTTAAAGGCGATTTTCTCAATATTTAGATTTTTTTTTTTTTTTTGCACCCTTTAGATTCCAGATTATCAAATAGTTGTATCTCGGCCAAAAATTGTCCTATCCTAATAAAACATGCATCAATGGGAAGCTTATTTATTCAGCTTTCATGTGATGTATAAACCTCAATTCTGAAAAATTGACCCTTATGACAGGTTTTGTGGTCCAGGGTCACATTTGTCAAAGATTTGGACACACCTGCTCATTCTACACAGTTTTCCATATTTTGTAATAATAGAGAACTATTAAACTATATAATTACCATTCAGTTTGTGTTAGTTTATGACCAAAATGACAAACAACAGCAACAACACAAATCAAAATACACATTGCAGTTCAAATGTTTGGTTTGGTAAGATTTTTTTTAAAATGTTTTTGAGGGAAGTCTTTTATGCTCAAAAAGTCTGCATTTATTTGATCAAAAAGTACAGTAAAAACTGTAATATTGTGAAATTACAATTTAATATGCAGGTTTTCTATTTTGATGTATTTTTAAATATAATTTATTCCTGTGGCAAAGCTGAATTTTCAGCAGCCATTACTCATCCTTTTTTGTTTCAGGACTCATTGAAAAGTTGCAAGTTCAAAGGAACATAATTTTTTAAAAATAGAAATCTTTTGTAATATTATAAATGTCTTTATTTTAATGTTTTATCAATTTGATGTGCCCTTGCTAAATACAATTTTTAATGCCTCAAAACATACTTACCCCCAAACTTTTGAAAGGTATTGTATGAACTCCTTCAAAACTAAAAAAAAAAAAAATCCAACAAAATATTAACATATTGGAAATAATATTTTATTAGCAAGTTTATTTAAAAGTCTAAAGGGGTCGTTTTTGATTCATTTTATTTAGATCTTAGTTGTCTCATTTGTCATGCTTTTTTTTTTTTTGCTGCTTGTGGTCACAGTTTGATGAGTGCATGTTTAGCCGCCTGCTCACCCTGGACCTCACACCATACCCACTCAATGAGGAGAACGCCACAGACAGAGAGAAGGACAAATGATGGGTGGACGGCTGATAATGAAGGATAAAATATTCGTTGTTAAAGTTAAAATCATTTAAAATATCTAAAAGATTTAATGTTGAACTGTTAAATTTAATTACTTAAAGATCTCATCATTTAACAAGTTTGAGCTGTTTTTACATTGTTTTGTATTGACATTTGAATGTTTAAGAGGTTGTTCTGTGATGCAACTTGAAAAGTGTTTTATGTTAAAGCAGTTTTATGTGTTATTGTTAAATGCCAGTTTACATTTGTTCAATGTGGAAAGTGATTTTAATACAGTTTTACTGTTTGCATTTGTGAAGGTTTCTGTCATTCTTTATTAGTAGCTGTACGCATAGGTGTCTCTCTGTCACTAGGGTGGGGTTTCAGCAAAACGTCAGCCTCTGTTATTCTATTCTCTCTTTCTTTGTCCCTGCTTCTCTTCTTGTCTCCTGAAATATAAAGCTTTGCTTTCCTTAGCAACTCCAATGGCATCTTACACCGTGGTCATTGTCCCTCTCAGGAACAATCCTACCAGTCTGGATGCATTGCGTTTCTTCCTCTGGGTTAGTTTGTTTTTTCTTGTTTGCTTATTTGTAATGTGTTTTGTTTCTTTTAGTTGAAGTGTTTCAAATATACTGTAACTGAATGTTGTTAGATGAACTAAACGCATTCACATTGTTTAGAAAGGGTGACAAGCATAAATTCAGTCATGTATGTACCGCAGTTTAAATGGTATATTAAGTTTGTAATCTCTAATTTTAAAACTAGAGTAAAATTTGCACAAGTATTTCTTCCAAACCAACTATTCTCATATTCACAGATGTCAACTATCACAGTTCGTCACGACATTCCTGTCCAGCTCTGAGGGGAATATTCAAAGTTCACAGCTACTTAACACACACACTGTGATCTATTTTTATTTTGTTTACTCTACACAATGCAATTGTGAAATTTTTTTTTTTTTGAGGCAGCTATGGAAACAAACACCAATATTGTCGCTAACTTTTGTAAATGTAAGAGCATAACTAAACGCATTCACATTGTTTAGAAAGGGTGACAAGCATAAATTCAGTCATGTATGTACCGCAGTTTAAATGGTATATTAAGTTTGTAATCTCTAATTTTAAAACTAGAGTAAAATTTGCACAAGTATTTCTTCCAAACCAACTATTCTCATATTCACAGATGTCAACTATCACAGTTCGTCACGACATTCCTGTCCAGCTCTGAGAGGAATATTCAAAGTTCACAGCTACTTAACACACACACTGTGATCTATTTTTATTTTGTTTACACAATGCAATTGTGAACATTTTTTTTTTTTGAGGCAGCTATGGAAACAAACACCAATATTGTCGCTGATAATCATGCAAAAACTTTAACTTTTTTAAATGTAAGAGCATGAGTTTTATTTGCAGGTGAAGACGCTGAAGGACTTGGAGAGGGAAAAGGATCTTCTGTGGATGGGATTGCAGGCTTTAGAGCAGGTGCGAGAGAAGTTATGTTCCAACCTAGATAATTACATGGAAGTGCAAGACAAATTCAACAAAGGAGAGATGAAAAAAGTGAGTTTTGTGTATCAACTTGTTTTTTTTATACCTACTTTGTGTTTAAATGTATTTTCTATGCATCAGGTGTTTCCAGACACCTCCACCCTACTGTTGGCTCAGATTCACAGAGTGAACAGGACCTTGAGGAATCTATTGTGTGACTCCAGGAATCCCACTGTTCCTGCAACAGAAGGTTATTCCTTTAACAATACTGTGCACCAAATTCCTGTAAAAACATTTAGGTCACTTTTCATTGTCACTTTTAAGTGGCAAAACCATTGAATTTTGTGTATTGAAAGCGGTTTACATTTTTGTCAGGTACTGAAGGCCACCGGCCCTCTCCTGCCTGTTCAGAAGAAAGTGCTTGTTTTTGATCAGCTATTTGTTTTGATGTTCTGTTCTGTACTGCATTTTCCTGTATTTTGTGCTTGCAGAATGTATTCTGCACTGAGTGGATTGAAATAATCATTTTATGTGCAATAAAGGAAACTTTCCAAAACGAATGGTATACAACTAGCACACTGCTTTGAATGTTTTATTCAAGAATTTAATGCACTTGACTTGACCTTCCATTTCCAGAGGAATGAATTAACTGAATAAATCAACCACTAGTTTTTGGTACTATTGGATTAAAAATGCAAAACACTTATATTTATTTTTGCAATGATAACTTTATACATGCAAAGAAATGAGATCATGTGAGAACACTAGCATGTGTGTTTATATATATATGATTATTTCTTCACATACACTGGCTGTCAGAAGTTGGGAGTAATTAAGATTATTTTAGGTTAATTGTAAAAGAATTTTAATGAAAAAGGAATTAATATCATTCAGAAGGGTGTACTGAATCATCAAAAATTATAGCAAAGACATTCAATTTAGTAAAAAATAAATAAATTCAAATAAATGCTGTTCTTAAGAAATTCTTATTCATTAAACAATTCTGAAAAAATATATCATGGTTTCCACAAAATATTAAGCAGTAAAAACAGTTTTCAGCATTGACAGCAATAAGAACCATTATGGTCACTGGGAGTGTTCCTGTTTGTAATGGTGTGTGGCCACTTCCCAGAAACCAATGACCTGCAGATGATTTAATACAACATCTGGACTGAGCCTGGCTTGTAAGATAGTAAGATGGCATTCATCACAACCAAGAAGACCAGTTGTAATTCTGAATCGAACAAAATAGATTAAAGAAAAAAGGGGAAAAGTGGCTTGAATTTTTCAGGCTCAGCAAGTGCAGGAACAACCTACTCCACCAGAATATGAGAGAAGCGCTGATAGTAAATCAGTCAAATCTACAGCTGTGTGCATCAAGAACTCTATTGTTTTCCATTAATAAGGACTCTAGGGGAAATCAGAATGTGCCATGAATTACCATAAGCAAAAATCCACATCCAAATCCAATTTAAATTGGATTAAGGCTGTTTTTTTAAACACAGATGAAACCAAGTGGACAGTTGCTACCATCAGCCAGAAAAGAAAACGGAGTTCACACAGCGCTCAGGTGTACAATCTCTATGAAAATACACCCTAACATCCAGCAGCAGCACAGCAGAGTACCTTCAGTCTGTTAGTGATGATGAGGAAGACGAGGGGCTGGAAAGAAAGAAGAAGAGGACGGATAGTGTAAAGGAGGCATCCTCTTTGTTTTTCTTTGACCAGAAAAGCAGCCCAGGTCAAGGTCAGGCTCAGCAAGTGCAGGAGCAGGCTGATGTGCCGTTATACTGGAGAGAAATCACATATCCTTGTTGAGAATAAGCCTAACCTTAATCAAAAATGGCCCTAACTGAAGAAACATTTGGTATTTTCCACTTTAGAGCAAAGTCTTCTTCAGGACATTAACTGTGCTTTAGCGGTCGGAGGTCTTCAAGAGCCTCATTCCAGTCAACCTGTAAATAATCAGAACATTTTGAGCTGGAATAAAGTCGGCCGATTGCTCGGGAGGGAGGATTCGGCGCTGTCTATGAAGGGAAACGCTTGGAAAACGGCCTTGAGGTATCGTGATTTTATCTTGAATATTTAGCTAGCAAATTCTTTGATCTCACTCCGTCCATTTCAAGTCCTCTTGGTGTATGTTTTGTCCACTATCTAGTGCACTTGACATGTCTAAAATGAAATTGTAACCATTTTTTTGTTATTGAACAGGTGGCAAAAGAAGACGAGGAACATGGTCTGCATCAGCATTGTAAGTAGACTACTTTTTTCACAGATTTAAATTGTAAACAGTTTATCCAAGACTGGACTGGATCCATATTTAGTATAACGCTTCCATCTAACAATCCTAAAAATAATCTTTCTTCTAGCCTGGTGCTCCTGCACCTCTTCCATTAGAGGTCGGCCTGTTGCTCCTGGTTAATAAGGATCCTAAAGTTCCTCAGGTCATTGAGCTGCTGGACTGGCAGGACCAGCCTTGTTTGTAATGGTGTGTGGCCACTTCCCAGAAACCAATGACCTGCAGATGATTTAATACAACATCTGGACTGAGCCTGGCTTGTAAGATAGTAAGATGGCATTCATCACAACCAAGAAGACCAGTTGTAATTCTGAATCGAACAAAATAGATTAAAGAAAAAAGGGGAAAAGTGGCTTGAATTTTTCAGGCTCAGCAAGTGCAGGAACAACCTACTCCACCAGAATATGAGAGAAGCGCTGATAGTAAATCAGTCAAATCTACAGCTCTGTGCATCAAGAAGAACTCTACAGCATTTCTACCTAAATATGGGTTTCCATTAATAAGGACTCTAGGGGAAATCAGAATGTGTCATGAATTACCATAAGCAAAAATCCACACCATCACACATGATATCCAAATCCAATTTAAGTTGGATTAAGGCTGTGAACTGATTTTTTAAACAGATGAAACCAAGTGGACAGTTGCTACCATCAGCCAGAAAAGAAAACGGAGTTCACACAGCGCTCAGGTGTACAACAAGTTGGGAGTAATTAAGATTATTTTAGGTTAATTGTAAAAGAATTTTAATGAAAAAGGAATTAATATCATTAAGAAGGGTGTACTGAATCATCAAAAATTATAGCAAAGACATTAAATTCTTCAAGAGCCTCATTCCAGTCAACCTGTAAATAATCAGAACATTTTGAGCTGGAATAAAGTCGGCCGATTGCTCGGGAGGGAGGATTCAGCGCTGTCTATGAAGAGAAACGCTTGGAAAACGGCCTTGAGGTATCGTGATTTTATCTTGAATATTTAGCTAGCAAATTCTTTTATCTCACTCCGTCCATTTCAAGTCCTCTTGGTGTATGTTTTGTCCACTATCTAGTGCACTTGACATGTCTAAAATTTAATTGTAACCATTTTTTTGTTATTGAACAGGTGGCAAAAGAAGACGAGGAACATGGTCTGCATCAACATTGTAAGTAGACTACTTTTTTCACAGATTTAAATTGTAAACAGTTTATCCAAGGCTGGACTGGATCCATATTTAGTATAACGCTTCCATCTAACAATCCTAAAAATGATCTTTCTTCTAGCCTGGTGATCCTGCACCTCTTCCATTAGAGGTCGGCCTGTTACTCCTGGTTAATAAGGATCCTAAAGTTCCTCAGGTCATTGAGCTGCTGGACTGGCAGGACCAGCCTGACCAATACATCATGGTCCTGGAATGTCCCCCACCTTGTGAGGATTTGTTTGATTATGTTGAGCGTTGTGCTGGTACCCTCAATGAGGATGTAGCGCGGCTGGTCATGTGGCAGGCAACGTACTCCGCATACATGTGCTGTGGAGTGTTTCACCGTGACATCAAGCTGGACAACCTCTTGATCAATCCCAAAACCCTTGAAGTCAAGCTGATCGACTTCGGATGTGGGGATCTGATGAGGGGAAACTGGCTAGGACATCTTCTGGAGTATGTATTATTAATAAAATGTGTAGTTTAAGATTCTAGTGATGAATTAAACCATATCCGACTATTTTGAAGCTCACTTATAAAAAAAAAAAAAAGTATTTCCTTCAGGCACAGCAGAGTATTTTCTCCTGAGTATGACTAGGAGGGCAGGTACTACGGGAACCCTGCTACTGTATGGTCACTGGGAGAGCTCCTGTTTGTAAAGGTGTGTGGACACTATCCCAAAAACAAGGACCTGCTGGAGATAGGTTGGGGCGAATGGTTTGAGCCTGGCAAGATGGCATTCATCACAACAAAAAAGACCAACTGTCTATTCGATTCTAAATCGTACAAAACAGAACTAAGTGAAAAGGTGGGAAAAGTAACATCTGAGCCAAGTGTAGGAATTTTCCTGGATTTTCTGACCTACAGCTTAGAACAGTCAAAGTTGAAGGATGAAATATTTCTCCAGTCATGGTTTAAGCCACAGAATTTGCCTCATCTTCATTCAGCTGATATGACAATGGCCATACCTCCATGTCTTAGTGTCTTCTGGAGCTGGAAAGCCTTGGTAGCACCTGGATAGTCCCCAAATGCCTTGCCACCTGTCATCATGGTCCCAGAATTTCCAACATAGTTTATTTATATACAGTATCATTACTGCATACATAATTTTATTTAGATATCATTACAGCATAGTAGTTATTGTGCAATGCCTTGGTAGCATCTGGTGCCTTGGTTTGAGGCGGTATCATAACAGCACATTTTAACAATGTAGTTAATTGTACAGTTTAAAATAACATCACTCAGAAATGTGGCACACTTTATGTATTTATACATGTATTTATTTGATGTATAAACCTATTGTGCCATATTTCCAAGTCATTATGTTTATCATAACAGCATAGCTTGTTATACTGTTCGAAATGTAACATAATGTTGAATAAAATGGAAAATTTTTGAGTGAGAGGTTGTCACAGTTCATATAATGCTCCTGATTTATCAGATGAAATATGTTGCTTATATCATTAAGCATTTTTATTGTTCATTTATATAAATGTAATATAATTTAAATCATTGAGGAAATTTGATTTATTTGTTGTCTTTAGTAGGCCTCAGCCACCCAGTGGAATGTAATAGACTAAAAACAAAAAACAAAATAGTAAATATTTCTGTGGGTTCAGCAGAGGAAAGTCGTCGAGTGAGATTTCATTCATACATTTTATTGTATGTTATTTTAATAAGATATTTTCAGTGTCAAATTTAATATAATTTATTTTAAAGCTTTTCGGTATGTGTCGAGACTTTTATTTTGAAGAGTAGTTTCGCTGTGCTGATCTTGGCGCTGAGTTCAAGCGTCGGTTAAAGTGTACAGTGCGCAGATGAAAGGACGCGCGTCCTGAATGGAATCAAACTGATTGTATGAGAATCATGTTGAGGAGAGCGAGCAGCGGGAAGAGCAGCGCGTCGCGGCGGAGCAGCTCGGTAAGCTTTGATGAATTCGGCTTTGCTCTCAGTAAGAAAAAAGACAAGAAGCTCCAACACAGATGTCACGACTACAGGTAGATGTTACTTATACTAATATACTAGTTCAGAGTTCACATGAATGAACACTATGTTGTGTGATGTGTTGGCATGTAACACTTTAACTATGTTTCCTCAGTTATCCTCAGCCTAATCCAGTTAAAGTGAAGGAACTGTGTGAATTTCTCAGTTACTGGAATGGATCCAGTTTTATCTGCAGAAATCAGGTGTGCATGTTTTTCTATATAACTATGGATTGAGCACCATTCAGAACCATTGAGAATCCATTTAAATTCACAGAAATGTATATATTTTAACTTTTTAAGTGTAATCTTTAATCTCTTGTCTTTAGAGAAATACATGTACTATAAAATATTTTTTCACATCAGAATTAATGACTTATGTTTTAAAGCAAAACTTGTGTTGGACAAATGATATTCTTTGTTGAATTTATTAAAATAACTTCCTGTCAGAACTTGTGTCCAAACCCACTTTCAACTCATTAATAAAAAATCTGAGACAAATTTTAAATGATGCATTTTGCCCAACACTGCATTTAAAATGGTTTGCATAATATTTTTTTGTATTAGTAATTTTTATCACTTTCCTTTTTCCTAATTTCAGATCGAGAGGTTTATTCGTATTGGTATTCCTCCAGCAATACGTGGACGAGTTTGGAAATGCCTCCTAAATATCGACAGTCTCAGAGCTGCCAGCTCTTTTGATTATGAGGTGCAACCCCATCAATATATGTATTTTTATTACTATGCAAACTCGTTTTCCTTTGTAGTAACCCATTTTGATTGTTTACTTCAGGCATGTCAGGCTGAGATCCGTAAACCTCTGGTTGATCTTGGAGTCAGTGAGTACAGTATCATCCCTACTATAGACTCTCTAGTGGACACCGAGAATGAGATCAGCAGCGGACAGGCTTCGGATCTCCTCAGCGCTGACCTAACGCTCTTCAAACAGATCGCCCTCGACCTGCGTGAGTTGTGCCTTTGGATGACCACTGAAATTGCATGATATCTTCCGTGCATTCATTTGGACTACTTTGTTTACATTAACGTGAATATTTTTTATTTGAATTAATGTAAAAAATGCAATAAGTTTGGAATAATAAAAGATTGAAATGATTAGTATTTAATGTTTAATAATGAGTTTTTTTTATATTTTCTAAGGCTGCATTTGTTTGATAAAAATACAGTTAAAACAGTAATATTGTGAATTATTATTAACACTTAAAATAACTGTTTTCTATTTTAATAAGTGTCATTTATTCCTCTGATGGCAAAGCTGAATTTTCAGCAGCCATTATCCTGCTATCATTGTCACCTATAATCATTATAAAATGCTCATTTAGTGTTATCAAATTTTGGTACTCAGTTATTAATAATGGCTCTTGTTATTATCAATATAAAAAGCAGTTTTTGTTTATTACCATTATTTTTTTTAGGGTTTTTATTGAAGAGAAGGTACAAAAGAACTATATATAATTCCATATATATATATATATGCTGTACATTTTATCAAGTAATTTATAAAATGTTAATAATTAAAATGCATGTGTATATTAAGTAAATTTTTTTTCTTTCTGGTAAAATCTGTGGGTGACTGTCTCATTTTTAAAAGAATGGGACTTTCAGGTGAAAGCAGTAATTTGGCTCAGATGGCAGTTTTTGTTTGAACTTGGCCAATATTCTGAAAACCACATGGGGGCGCTGCATAAACACTTTCCCTCTATTCTTACACATGAACTGTACATTAATGCATTTGGCCCAAAATTTAAGCCAAAGTGCACCAAGGCACTGGGAATCAAATCTATATCATTGGTGTTGCTGGACCCATCTTTTGAGCTACAAAAGCCTGAAATACTTCCTATTTAATAACTACTGCACGTTATTACCAATCTTTTTTTTAACTTTTTTTATGTGATCTTTCTAGAACTTTTTGTATATATGTTTGAGATGTTTTGGTAGTTCAGCTGATAGTTCCATATTTGTCTATATAGGAAGGTCATTTCCGACCCATCGCACTCTGATGGGGGACCGTCCGGAGGCTATTGAGGGCCAGGCCAAACTTTTCCGAGTTCTTACCGCATTTGCCCGATATAATCCCCAGATTGGATACGTACAAGGTAATGAACTGCCTGTACTTCCACAAACGAGGTCACTGGCATTACTGAAATCTTCGTGAACTTTGCGCCTGTGCTTTTACTGGTTCTGTCACACATTTTTAACTTCAGTATATACTGAGGTTCGGTCTCAAGAGGGCGGTCAAGTGCTATCTTGTTGCTATTGCATGTCATAGTCATAATTTTGTTAGAATTTTTTCTGTGGAGCTAATTTAGTTAGTTTGCCCTTGACATTCAGGTCATAATGGGAGTATGTGATGCCTCAAGGTTTGTTGTTTGCTCAGGGATGTCCTATATAGCTGCTGCACTCCTGATGATCCTGTCTGAGGAGGAGGCTTTCTGGGCGCTGGTTGCTCTGTTAGAGAATCCCAAATATCTCTCAGAGCTCATTGATTCTTCTCTGAAGAAGTAAGACCTTCAGCTGTTTATAAAATAAAGAAATAAACACTTATTTTACAAAGGTTTACTCAAGTTACACTAAAAACATCTGTTGACAGTGCTGTTGGAAGATTTTGGAAATATAACACACCAGCCAGTTAATTGTTTTTTATTATTATTTATTTATTATTATTTTTTTTTTTTTTGCAAATGCCAATAATTGCAAATAGGCTACATATTGGTTGGTTAATCAACTTTTTATCTATTTTAATAATTTATTTTATTTTATTTTTAGGATTCAGCATCAAGCTTTGGTTTTTCATCAGCTCCTGAAGCACAGGAAACCTCTGCTCTTTCAGCACTTGGTGAGAATTATGGTGTAAATTTTTTTTTTTCAATTAAAAAATCTCACTCAATTAAAAAAATAAATAAATTACATTTAAAAAAGAATAAAAAATCACTCAATAAAAATGTTAATAAATATATTACGTATTATTTTTCTGCCCATGAAATTAAGATGAAATTTGCCTCTATTAAATTTTTTTATATATATGTACTGAGCTGAGTAGTAACTGATTACATGTAATCTGGATTTTGTAACCAGATTCCAAAAATCAAGTACTGACATGAAATATTTACTTGAAATATCTCTGAGGAAGTTGATTTTTCAATAATTTAACAACACATTCACATGTTTACAGTTCAATGTCATTTGATGGTCACAAATAGGTTTATATGTAAATAAATAAAATATAAAAAAAATTTTAGCTTTCAAGAGTTTAAATAACTTATTTTACATTTTTATGATTTATTTAATTATTAGCTTTTTTTTATCAACTCACAAACCCACTGCGGTTCGTACATTAAGCCATTATTTACATTACCATTATTTTAATGGTAAGTTCAAAACAAGTTTGTTTAAAAGTAATCAGAAAACAATACTTAGACTAAAACTAAGACCTACTAAACTAAGGAAGAGGTCTTAAACTCTGGCCTCAACTCAGAAAATGTCTGAATATAAAAACAGGCACATGCTGCGTTACACACAGTGGTTAATATGTCTCAGTTCTCTAGAGTTTATGCAGATCACAGCCTTTCTCTTGAGAAGCCTCTCACATTTAACGCCCCTCACAGATTTGTCACTGTGTCTTATAGACCTTTTCCTGAGGGCTTTCAAATGAGCTCTTCTGTTTTTTATAGTTTTGGCTGTCCGCCCCCTCAGAGCATTTGTGCAGCTTGGTGAACTCTTAAGGGATTTCCTTCTCGTTGTGTGTTGACTCAGCGCAGCTGTCTGAAAAGCTGAGCTATTAGACCACAGCACAGGAGAAAATATGATGCTGTTAACTTACAAAGAGGGCAAAGTGCAGCGACATACCTAAAACATAATTAAAAATCTTTTATTTAGTCGCAATCGTGATGTAACAAACCTAAATGACTTCCTTTCTAGTGTGGAACACAAAAATGAAGAAGTTTATCAAAATGTGCCAGTCGCTCTTTTTCATTAAATTACAGTGTGAGACTGGAGCTTTCAAGCTTAAAATATTTATTTATTAATTAATTAATTTGTTTGTTTGTGTGAAATATGACCTGTTTGTAGATGTTGACAGGAGTGTGTTGTTGTCTCTGATGGTAGGAGACTCTTGGGGTGTCTTCTCTACATTTCATCATGCAGTGGTTTCTCACTCTCTTCACCTCGCTGCCGTGCTGGGACTCAGTATTGGCCATTTGGGATCTTATCATGCTGCATGGTATTACACCCCTTTATCCTGTTTGTCCTAGAATAATAACACCTCAAGTGTCAAGCTGCCATGCTTGCTTATTAGAGGTGAAATGTGTCATTTATGCACCTTTAGCGTCACTAAACAGAAGAGAAAATTATTGTTTTCAAACAGGTTTCTTGAACCTTATTTGATCAGTTTCTTATGTTCTTTACAGGTCTGCAGGCTGTATTTCGCACTGGCCTCACCATCATCCTGCTGCTGGAGTCTCGTATCATGAACATGAACGAGGAGGCCACAGTACTGCCCATTCTGCTGCGAGTGCCTGTGGATGTGTGAGTGCACTGATATAACAATTTGTTTAAATTAAAAATTATATATATATATATGAAGAGTTTATTTGCAAAAACAGATAACTCCCATTTTTTTTAATTTTCAAAAATCATGTTTTTTATGTTATCATGTGTTTATTGTGCTTTATTATGTTAGGTAGCTGTATTTTTTTTGTTTATTTTTTACCTAATCACAATAACCCATCTGCAGTTTGATTGAGATTAATTGGAATGCACAATGAAAAAACATGATTTTTGAAAATTGTTAAAAACAGAGTTATCTGTT